AAACGAACTACCTGGGAGAACTGAAAACACGGCCTGGATTTGGAATTGAGGTCCAGATTTGAAGAACCCTGTTCTATGGTAAAGGAATTACAATCAGAGGAAAATCTATCTACAATCTGAAAAGAACTGACCTGATTTGCTTGAAATACCATCAGTTCTCTGCTGTCATCTCCCAACTATCAAATTATACTGCAGAATGGGCTGCAGCCTTCACCAAATACAAGACATTTTGGTAACGCAATTACCAATTACCTCTGCTGTAGAATTGCCCAGATTTATTTACATACATTTTTATCCCAAGCAATGCACGTTCTTGAGAGAGAGCAGGGTCATACAGTCCCTGGAACAATGGGGGGGGGGGGAAGGAGGTTAAGGGCTTTGTTCAGGGGCCCAATAATGAAATCACTAAAACGACACTTGGAATTTGAACCCGACATGGTGTTCTAGCACGCTGAGCTACACAGCACTTCTCAGTGTGGAGAAGAGAGTCTCTCTTCTCTTTACAGGGTCATGAACAAAGAAAAGGTCAGTCAGGGACGGGTCTGCGGCCCGCGGCAGCTGAGCACGGAAGCGGGCCGCGTAAACACGGCAGCGGCGGCCCGCACCCTCGCTCACCTGAGCCGACCTCCTGAAGGACGCGTTCCAGGGTGGCAGTCAGGCAGCCACCACAGGAATGCGGCGCCTCCGACCCACACGACCCGCCGGGTCCCGGCACGTCACGGTGCAGCCAGAACCTGATGAACCACAGAGGTCAACATGGAGGAACGTGTTTATTGCGTGCCGCTCGTAACTTCGCCGCATCTCAGCATGCGTGTGAATGGCGAGCCCCCCCTCCCACCGCGTCGAAGACGAATTCCGTCGACCGTCAGCCAAAACGACAGCGCTGAGCAGCTGATCATCACGCGATGGCGCTCGGCTGCAGCTGTGCGGCACGGCGGGGGACAAAACGGCAGTTGTGTGGGAGAGCGGCCAGCGGATGGCGCTATGCTGATGCACGGATCACATATGCATTGCCGGTCGAAGGCCCAGTGTCTCGGGTGCGAGTGAAGGGGGGCAGCAGGACTCCGTGTGGCACGGCCGTGGCTGGGAATGGTTCTGTTCCCCAAACCCCCTGTAACCGCAGAGTTTCAGGTTCAGCCCTATAAACCGGACTAACGCCAAACCATGCAAACAGAACATGACCCAGCCGGATGCACGTTCCAGATACTCCCTGGCCTCCACACCAGTACCAGCACCCGCCGGTAACATGTGCCGAAACCCGGCCACTCACCCGGGGGCCCTTTCCCTGGGCAGGTCGAGAGGCCTGCCTTCAGACAACCAGCACGGAGATTAACAGCTAAATTAGGCCAGCCCTCGCTTTCGGTTTAAACCTGTAAACCCTCCGTACGCTGGGCCTCGCCGCTCTTGCACTCCTTACAGATTCGCTGCGAGTAGGACCTGCTGTACGGGGCGTCTGACACCGGCCCTCCAGGAACCCGGCCCGTGTCCCGCGTACGATGCTATGGCTCCGCTTCGGGGTGTCCTCGCCTGGGGGAGCGCCGTGAAGTCGCGGCTCAGCAGCGGCATCCCTCCCCAGCACATGGGCGCGTCGTCCCCCGAGATCACGGCCCCTAAGCTGCTTTCTGGGGCTGCGGTCGGCTTAAAGGCTTCATGTCGCCGCGGTTACCTGTCCCTTAGCGACCGATTTAGCGACACACGACTCCCACCTTGACACGAGTGACCCCACCCCCCCCCAGCCATTAGCCAGCGGTCACGCTCACTCCAAATGACACGCCCACACGTGTGTCACACCCACGCATGCAGAATGGGCCGGTGTGCGACTCTGTGGGCTACAACCCTGTGCCTAGATTACCGGTGTCTCGCCAGTTCAAATCCCGTAGTTCGAAGAGTGACGTGACCTTTGACCCCCTGAGCAAGGCCTTTGACCCCCAAGTGCTAGAGGGATTAGCCGACCCTGCTTTATCGAGTAAGTGCGCGCTGCTTTGGATACAACCATCTGCTTGGTATATAGACGCAGATGTAATGTAAATGGAAGGAAGCGGAGACCTTACAGCCAGTGGCCAGCAGAGGGCAAGGCGGTGTGACGACAAGGACACCGTACCTCGTACACGTACACGGACACACGCCACGCACGTGCCGCCAAGCTAAACAAAACAGCATCTGACCAGCGAGGCCAGGGCAGCTACGATGGTGTTAAAGCACACAGGGATAGGGATCGGGGCACGGGGGGCAGGACGTGGCTGCGTATTACGCTCCTGCTTCACTAAGGATGTCCTGTCCGCAACCACGAGGAGAAGCATGAGGTAATGAAAAGGGCCATTGTGGGCGGGGCCAGCGTGGGGGGCTGACGTCTATAAGAGGAGCTGCTCTCTTCTAGGAACGCGGCCCTGTCTTTACAGACGTATCCAGAATGAACAATGACAGCCGTGTCTCTGACGGAGGCCCCGCCCCCCCCAGCCCTCGCTATCCTGCGTCACTCTCAGTGAATTGTGTTGACAGGCAGCGCTGCTGTGAAGGACGACATCATCGCGCCGCTCTCCCCCCCCCCCCCCCCGACCGGGGCGCGCCAGGGTCTCTAACAGCCTGCTGACTGCACCCAAACAGTCCGCCACACGCACCAGGAGTCAGAGTAAGGAGTCTGAGTCTGAGCCACGGCCTCTTCCTCTAATCGAGAGTAGTAATCCCTAGGCCATCTCTCCAGTACACGGCGATCGTTTGATAATGCCTGGCGAGCAACCCTCATTCGGCGACGCCCGACAGCAAAGAGGGGTTCACGCAGATCTCCCAGTCGGCCGCGCTGTTTAGATGGACCTTCCGCTCCGCCACAGAGGACCTGTTCCCCCGTCCCCACACGCGAGCCGCCTTATCTCGCCAAGGCCCCGTGGCAGAACCGCGTCACCCGCATGGGTGCCGGGCGCCAAACGGGTCGCGTGAATTCAGGACGGCGTCCCAGACGCAGACGGCGTGTTATGGCAGATCAGATATGACGGATCTTCAGTGGAGGAGAACAAAAGGGCCAGCAGCGGAGAAGACAGATACTGGAGACAAGTAAAAATACAGAGAACACTTTGCATTCCTTGATCTGTCTAGATATGATACCTTAAAATTAAACTAAATGTCTGACTGCTAAACTGCTTAATTTAGGAGAACCGAGCGGAGGAGGGGGTACGGAGATCCCTGGGAGGCCCGCGGGCGATGACATCACGGCTAAGCGCCGAGGCCACATCCTTGTTCTGTCCCGTGACATTCCCGCTTATCCCAGCCCATAGTGCTCACCGTGAGACCAACTGGAGAGAGCACCCGATTCATCGAGCTGCCCTGTAAAGAGCGGAAACGGGAGATCATTCTCCCTTTAGTCTTATTGTTTTGGAGCGTGAGTTTGTGGATAATGCACCTGGTCTATCAAAGGCTTTATGTTACACTAAATTACCATATAATTTCAAAATATGCATATTCTCCTTAAAGCTAATGCCTCACGTTGCTTAAATAGATGTTGGGTAAAATTTCTTTTAACCAGAAGTAACCTGGGCAGCGACAGTTTTCGGAAAATCTTTCAGAATCATTTCTGCAGGAAGCATAAAGTTTTTCATTTTGATTATACCACCTTAAGGACGTTTGTTTCACTTTAACGCTAAAAAGTTCTGCGAACTGGCTGCAGGTATTTCCCAGCTTGCCCCAGTCACACGCTTGTCAGATTGTGTTTTACTCGAGGCCGATGCAAACGTTCAGCGCCCCTTGCGAATCGTCCCTCTAAGTCAGTGAGCCACCAACGTGAAGATCGACATTGCGTTATATAACGCGGTAAGAGTACCCGTGTCACCGCGTCCACGCACCTTCCCGCGCTGCAACCTAACACCTTAGCAACAAGGTCAGCACCGCATGACCCAATCGCAGCGTGCTGAGTCAGAGAGGAGGGGATACCCTTAAATTAGCAGAACTGGGTCACCTCCTGCTAGCGTTAGAACATGTGCAGGGCAACAAGTTTTCTCCAAATGACTTCAGATTATTATTAAGAGGAATAATATTGCAATGCAATAAAAACAAAATGAAAGAACAATAATTACATGAGTTGTAAAATTCCATTTTAAGTATACTAATGTCTGACTACAGCTTTCAGAAATGTATTATATGATTTATTATTTAAATGCATCTCAGGATTTGGGTACGTGTCGCTGCATCGAGGCCACCGTGTCACAGGAGCCCAAGGCACAATTCAGGAAAATCCAGTTCGACTCACCTGTTCTTCTCCAGCTCGTTGTGTGTAGACCTGCAGTTAAAAAGAGGGGGGGGGGGGGCAATCAGATTATACAGGCTCCACACTCACTGATCCAACAGAAAACAAAAATTTCAGACAATATAAACACTTGCAACAGCGTTCGGTCAAAAGCATAAGCTGTTTAATACTGACACTGTAACAGACGAGGCAAATACATAAACAAATACAAGAGGAGGTCCAGCCCTGTCACATGCATCCTGCCAGGAAGAAGATTTAGTCGTTAATCTGACCTGCAGCAGTGAATCCCTGACTGGCTGCCTCTCTAACCGCCCTCCCGGCCCCGCGAGCCGATCCGAAGGGCTGCCAGGGCCGGGCCCCGAAGAGCTTCTCTGTGAGGCAACACGATGCAGGGAAACATGTGGCACGGACGGCTAAACAGCCCGGCTCCACGACGGACGAGGCCAACACACAACGGGCAGACCCACTGCCCAGGACCTGCTCTGCTCCTCTCCTATTGGTCATTACTATTAACACTTTATTCCAAAGGGTCGTGTGGCTGATTGGGGCTCGCTGTGTTGTATAACGCTGCATGTGTGGTGGCTGGCACGCGCATTTTCGATACCAGTGAAAGAATAAACCGGAACTAGTGCTTTATGGAGAACGACTTCACAACCCTTTTATGAAAATGACACAAGCATATGGGCATATTCTTACTGATCCGCATACCACGTTCAACAAGATAAACGCAGAAAATAGCTGGAGATAATTATAAAGATGAATCATCATTCTGTGTATGTCACGTTGGCTCCACGGACAACAAAATCAACCGGCCTGAACCTTTTTTTGTGAAAGGGGAAGATAAAACGCCATGGAGGGTAGTCACGGCTGTCGGCTTCACTTTGCACATCCGAGCTGCAGTCATCTCATCACAGTGACATCGCGCTTCCTTTGAGCATGCAGCTTCACGAGCTCTGGGTGCCTGGGTCATGAGGCATTAAGGCCTCTGCAATCTTTTACACTAGGATACATTCGAATGGCTTGATTTTAATCAAAAGCCCGCACGCCTCTTATCCAGGCAGTCTGTGGAGCCCACACACGCATCTGTAGCGTGGGAGACAATGACGTTTGTTGGATCGAGGGACTGAAAAGAGAGTTTGTAGATAAGTCCTCAGCATACCAAATGAAACCCGAGTGGAAGCCTTAGATGGAAAAGGCAGTGTAATAAATATGCCAGAGGAACAAAATATCAACATTCACGACTATCTTTCTTTAAAATGTTCAGAGCTTGGTGCAGTATGTGCTGCATGGCTATTCTGAATTTCTAACAAAAACCGGGCACAGAAAATACAGCGGGGACCTGGAGCAAGGCGCCACGCGCACGTAATCCATCACCTCGAGGCACCCAGCAGCGTCATCCTAAATGCAGATTTAATGGGAGAATAAGCGACCCCAAAATGCCAAAGCGAGCTGCATTTTCACCTAAAGTCACTTTACGCTCTGCGACCTTGGGAGAGCTAATTTAATTTAAATCCTCGATCACGGAATGCCTCGGAGCATGTCATAAACATCACAATAAATCATTTACTACCGTGCCATTACGGCACCTATCTCGTGGTCAAATATTGCATAGTAATGAGCTGCTGCTTTTACTTCATACGGGGTACAGCACTTATTCTAAAATGGACACCGCATGACAGAATACAAACTGCGTGTTTTTCGTGATCCAGAAGGATGCAATGGATAAACCCACGCGATTCAAGTCATTTTCCTAACACCACAATAAAATACGTATTCAAGCTTTTCTCATGCTTGTAAAATCGACTCTAGATCTATTCCTCACGTCCTGTAACATCACCAAAGAGTAAATAAGAGATTTTTTTTTACACGTAAGGGTTCGATGCGAAATGCATGCACGTGACAAAAATAAAATTAGGCTTAATTCTCAAACTGTTAATCATCCTAAGGTGTTAATGTTCCCATATTAATCCGGGCGATATATATGAATGTAAAGGTCACGTCGTTTGTGAAATATCGATGAAAGGCAAAGAGTGTTCGTCACACATGGAAGACAACACCGTAGAGATGGTCCCTAACCTAAGCGCCGCAGCCAGTTTGACAATCAGCTGATGAGAGAGAGAGAGCTTCCCCCCTCCCCCAAGCCAGGAGCTGGAACAAGTGCCAGTGCAATGCAAAAAAACACACATCCGCAATATTTATTTCATCTTCCTATCGTACTGCATGGGTTAATAGCAATTTATATAAGCACCATTAGATTAAAATATCGTGTTGCTGCCTGACACGCAGATAAGAGGAGCCTTCTTGCAGCGCACGCCGAAGTTACGGGGCTATCGCTGCTGTTAAATGTCTGCCCTCGTAAATTTCCTTATCTTGCAAGTTCATATCGTCTGGCTGCAAAATGCGTATAGGGGCGAGAATGAGAAACAGAAAGTGGATGTTGCGGGGACTCAGGGCAGCGGCGATGCGGTGCAGTTTGCTAGGGTCTCGTTAGGGTAGAACCGGGTCGGTTGCAGAGGACAAATGCGGCGCTTACCTGTTGTGGTTGGTGTTGTACTTTTTATTTCGAAATTTCCGTTGTCTTTGATAGCTTGTGTTCTGGATTGATGGAAACATCGAAGCGTACCCGTGTTCACATTCTGGCGAGAAAGGCAAAAGACAGACTGCCTGTCATTCCAGTTTACCATCCCCCCATAGGATCACACACAGGCTATATACTGTACATGTCAGTTCCTATCGGTACCGTGCATGCACTAAAACCCCAGTTTCATGTCGGTCGTTTGCAGCTTCACACAAAACCATCAAGCCACCAACCGAAGAAATGCAACACACTACAAACCCCAATGATAGTTTTAAAAACTGGGAATAAATAACATTTCCTGGTTACGTACCTCTCTCTCTCCTATCTAGATATTCCGCAGCCTCCAATAACCTTTGGATATTAATGAGTTGCACTGCCGTCATTCTGCGTGTAGGTAGCTTGCTATGATTATTACTGAAATATATTGCTGAACAGATTTATATCTCACTAGAAACACTAGATATTGTCACTTATACAGTATACGGTATTGCTTCGAATTAAACTTTCGTGATTTTTCAATATTTTTAAAAAATAAAGCTTGCTACGTCTAGCTGCCAAAGCACCGAAATATTTCGTAGCTGGCGTTATCTAGTTTACTCAACTTTCGCTTTTATTTTAAAAATAAAACATTATAATATCAAAGTATTAAAAATACTTAGGAATCACACAACTACAAATCGTACAAAACAGATATAAACGATATAAAATTCTTCCCCCCGAAAGCCCACAGCCTCCAGAGTCCCCTTGGTGCCTGTTTAACTCCACCCCCAGTTTGTTTACCTGCCTCACAGCTGAGGGAGGAGACATGCCACGGCGCAAAGCTTCATGGGAAAGCGAGTCTCCATAATACAGTAGCAGTAATAATAATAATATGTCTATCTGTATTGGTACTACTAGCACAAGCCTGATATTCGCATAATAACGTACTGGTGTTACGTACTTATCAAACGACGGTAAAACAGAACAAGAATAAAAAGTAAAAATCTAAAAAACAAATGTGATTTACTAACCGTTGTTATTATATGTCTTTTTTTTTTTATCGTGAACCATTGCTCGTGACTTTAAACGCGTGACACACAGGAAAAAAAATTAACAGAAAATATGACGAGACGGGTCAAGCTCTGCTGCAGATCGGAATGCAGTAGTCATCTTATGAACAATATACAATAGTGTTATGCATTTATGATCAAAATAATACGTATGATATTGCTATGACATGGGGCGACAGAATACGCGACTTCCGTAGTCACGTTTGCTATTGCGACACATCCTACAAGTCCCAAAAGACCTCAAAACATTAGGGTCTTTAAAGCAACTCGTGGCCAGGCCCAGCAACACATGACATCATCACAAACCACGTGGTCTATTGGACATGCACGCTAAGTACAGTCAGCAAACTAACATTCAACCAATCAGAGAGCTTGAATGTGCTCCATGTGGAAATCATGTGAGTACTCCTGCTGAGACCAGGAAGCAGATAATTTTTTTTTAATGCAGCGTCGTGCAATTTCATTTTTATTTGTTTTTGCTAACTGCTGAACTTTAATTAATAGTCTTTTTTCCCTCATATTTTAATCGATATGTATGGAGATACAGGTATATATTTGTGTACATTCATGTTTGTTTCCATTTTTCATTTCATTTTTTAATGGCTGTTCTTAATATTCCCGCTGACAAACATTTGAGTTTGACACACACCTCCGTATAACCATGAAGTTTAATTAGGTAATACAAAAATGTTTTTAAAAATATGATTTAAAGAGGAATATGCTGCACGTCGCCGCAGTGCTGCACTTGATTTCCCGTGGTTCTGCAGTGACTAAAAGTAATTCAGACAAATTATGCATTTTAACGGTGTATTTTATGAGTCCAACCTTTTACGTGCATAGATAACAGAAAATTTCAATATGAACGACCGTTTCTGTTCCTACAAAGGCAGGTAGAGTAAACAAGTAAATATTACCTCGTCACATCCATATTTGTAGAAAAACATTCGCTTAAAATGTACAATAAAGTGATTATTTGCTTGAAAATGCGCGGATGCACACGGTATATTTAACAGGCAAAATAATCTTCATCTCTAACGCACAAGATTTTTCTAGGGAATGACCTGATTCATAGCCACCGGGCTAAATTTTTGACATTCATGTAGGCCTATTCGTTTGTTTTACGGTAAAATATAAAAGATGTATTTTCAAAGTGACGCATAGCAAATAAGTACAATTGTGCGATAAATGGTTTACACAGCTAACTCTTGTGCGCCGTCCCCATTAATCAAATCTTGTTTTATATTACTTCGGGATCAGAAGCATAAAATAGGTCAAAACGCTATAAGCAGGTTAATAATTACCAGATTATATTTTTTTCCTCCTCAAAAACCGTATCACTAAGATCAGAGCATCTGCAATATAGTTATCTGGTCGCCGTTTGCTAGCTTGTTCCTCGGACCAACATATACGTTAAAAAAATTAAACTTTATATAGGCCATGCAGTATATTTTAGAGTTTTCCTTAGTATGAAATTGAGTGTGGGGGCGTCGGGGACCACGCAATGTATACTGTGTGGGAAGACTTGGAGGACAGCGATATATTTCATCCTACGCTTCTTGTGAGCCCAGCAGTCGAGGGCATGTCCGTACGTAGTTTTCACAAGAATACTGTTTCCAAGTATAAGAAAAGTAAAACCTGAATATTGTATTCGGATTAATCCCAGAAATCAATAACAAAATTCTAGATCACTGCACACATGTATTACATGAATATAAATTAAATAGTTCAACGTAAGACTTAAAAGAGAATCTTAAACAGTAATAATACAAGTTTATGGTGCATCCCCCTTCTTGGATTTGTGAAAATCTTTATGATAAACTGTACTGAGGCAGATCACGTTTTTGTATGGCTAGCTAGTTGTTCGTAGTTCGTTCAACTCAGTCCTTTGTTGTCTGAGTCTGGTGACAATGATATTTTTTGTTTTTTTCTTTCTGAAGCATTAAATACTGAGGAAACGCCACCACTCTGGGCAATTTGACTTACTTCCATCTTTCTTTTCGTTATTTTCAATGTAACTTGCTGCCTCCAGTAAAACTTGAACGTTTTTCAGGAAAGTGTCGATCTGGTCCATAGCAGAGTCACTGGCGTTAAAGACGTCATTGAAAGGACAACTAGACATCTCAGTGAAATCCCGCTGATCCACCGAGCCCTCGGACTCCAGAAATACATCTTCGGATTTCAGTCGCCTCTGTTGCCTTTCACTTTTGACCATTTTATTTAATTTAATTTATTTTTTTCCTGGAAGATACGCTTTTTTGACGGAGATCCTCTGCTCGGCTTTCCTCCTGCGTTGCGTCTTAAGAGGGCATAAATGAGTGAGGGATGCGATGCCTGGGGATGTCAGCTCTCGTCGCGGCGCGCATGGTCCTTGCGCCCGCCCTGTTCAACGCGCCACAATCTATATCCGCGCCGCAAATTCTCCTAACAAAACCAAATATTTGATGATTTACTAGTCTTGCCCCTCCAAATTCATACCAGTGAAACATTCTTTGAAATGCAATTTCGACGCATTTGTGACATTTTGGAATCACGGTGTAGTTGTGCGCACTCTGTTATTCTCTCCCTACGTTGCACTTGCTCAGCATAACGGCGCTACTAATTTTCCACCGACAGTGCTGATTTGATTCCCACACAGCTCAAATAAACACTCCGGGTGTTAAATGGGCGCTCCCCTTTCTTTTTTTTCTATCATACGTGTAATCAAGTTTTGATAATGGACTTTAGTGATTCGTTTGCCCATGCGTGGTTAAACTGAATCTGGAAAAATATCTTAAAATCTTGCGATAAGTACGAATAATAATAATAATAATGATATATTTTAAAAAACGATTTAGGGGAGGCATCCCTACTCCAGACATTTCCAATCGCCTTTTTTTTCCACGTCTGTGAGAGCAGGTCCAACCTTTTTCCACAGCCAGAACAGAGGATCGCAGTTCAGTATCCGCCACTTCAAAGGCACCGCAGCGGGACGCTCGGTTTTGATGTAAAGTTCACAGAAAAGACTTGAAAGTTCACTTCACAAGGGGAGCATTCAATGCCGTTAAAGTAGGAGAGCGGCGATGCGCGGAGGAACCTCGGGGAGACCGCTGAAGTAGTACATTTTAAATAAAAATAATAAAAAAAGAAATAGCATAGCAGGAAACAAAGTCTTCATACTGAGCCCCTTGTGATTTTTTTTCTTTAGGCGTACTGGTTAAGTGCAAGGCCCAAGGGGCAAAAATAAACGGGGGAGGGAGCCGATGTTTGTGACTCTTACTACAGCCTTTTTGCTATTTTGCGAGAACTCGGGGACATAGTCTGGGCTGGGCCTGATTAAATATAGGCATACCCGTGTTTTAACGGACATGGAAACAGAAAATGCTACTGGTGGCCTGTGTTCTCGCTTCCGAAATATGCAAAGTGAAATTGGCGTATCTGACAAAACAAGATGACACGGGGAAATCATTAGATTAATTAAGTCTTTCGATGGAAAATACGGGAATCTCAGTCTAACAAAAACATCTCACAGAAGGAATAACACTATACAGCAATTTCAGGTTATATGTAGGCCTATAAATATATCAATTTTAATTCCAGTCCCTAAAAAATTAGGCAAGGCATTAGGAACAGGCAAAATGGGTTTCACCCAACCCTGTTTGATGTATGAAACCTTAAAACATTAAAAATCAAACTTAGTTATACCATTGGTGCGTACGCCGACATTTATTGGTAAATATATGACGTCAGTAAAGGTCACGCGGCAGGTGTATAAACCCTTTGACACGGCACGTACTGACCTGCAAGTGTTTAATGAAACCTGATCATACTGGGTCTACCGGCACCATTCTGCATGGTAACAACTCATTTAATGCATGTCTTAAGTTCCCCAGCTTCAAGGAGACGTATGTGATAACGGGGGGTGGTGTGGTTATAATGCTTTATAGTTATAGATTAACGACAGCAGGATTAGCAAAATCAATTTCTGACATAACGTCTCTGGTCTGTGGGTGACGTGCAGAAAGTTTTATTCCGAGACGTGTCAAGTCAGCCATTTTAAACTGATTTCTCATTTATAAAATAACGTTAATAACTAAACTAAAAGTCAAAACGACCTTACTCTCAGACGATGTAATCTGCACTAGAACATTTTTCCTGTCACTCTTATTTATGTAACTTTTACTGTATGTAAAAGTAGAATCGTGCTGTTAAGTTAAGCCTATCAGAGAAGTTTATCTCAGAGTTATTCAGCTGACAGCAGAATTAAGGCGAGCTGTTGAGTCTGCGCCCTTATCCAATGATCTATGGCTCCTTGCTGCTTTGCATACTAGCCCCCGTATCGCTGCGCTGTTAGGCAGGGTGGCATGTGACCCCTGAATGCCTTGTGTGGCTTTTAATCGTGTTTGCCCTAGAGATGCAGGCTGTTTTTAATATGCGGTTCCCGTTTAAGACCCACCCCCCCGCTCCTGACCGCGCGTCGCTGGACAGTCCTGCTTTGGGACGGAGAGGTCCGCAGTACAAACACGCGGATGACGCTCGAGTTTGCCAAAAACGCCACACAAACGCTTTTATTGTACTGTATGGGTTAGCATTTCTGGGCAGCCGCGACAGGCAAACCATATTCGAGGAAATGATGATTCTTTACCGTGCTTTTGTTTGGAAAAATAAATGGGCACAGAACTAATCACCACCAGGGGCCTGTATCACGAAGCAAGATTTATTGGTTAGCTAGATAACTTGTCAGATTTAAGGTACCCCAGTTGAAATGGGCGTTATCGTTCGTCTTCGTTCAGTTACACTTAATCCAGATGATTTTAAATCTGATAAATTATCCTTAATTTAACCCAAAAATCCAACTTCGTGATACAGACCCCTGGTTAGTTCTCACAGATCTTAAGCAGAAACCGGCACGGTCAGTTATTAAAATATTTCTTGGAACAAATTCTGAATAGTGCATGGTAGATACTGAGATTAAGAACCAGACACTACAGGGCACCGCAACGTAAAATATAGACAAATGGTAAATGGTAAATGGACTGCATTTATATAGCGCTTTTTACTACTCTTACGAGTACCAAAGCGCTTTACAGTTATGCCTCACATTCACCCATCCACACTCACATTCACACACCGGTGGCGGACAAGGCAAGGATGTCAGGACACTGGGCAGGACGGGGGGTGCATTTGGATGAAAGGCAGCGATACTGTGAAGTTAAACTAGATCCGTGAAGGTAGACGTTACGGTGACACTAAAATCTATTCGCGAGATATATCAAATAATCTCCGTTTCGTGTTTCCTGTGGTTAACCCCGAACCCATGGAATGAAACAAAACCAGCGTTTTCTTTCCCAAGTATGTATGTTTTAACCTCTAGAGAGAAAAAAAAAACAGAAAGTAACATTGATCTTATGCTAGCGAGGGTTTTGATTTACCAAGGAACCGCATCTACAGGCGTCCGGTAGACTTAAGATGAATTAATCCTACAATGAAGGAAATGTATGAAAGTAACATTTTATCTGAATTTACTAGTTAATGCACATAATATATGAAGAGTCACGCGATATCCTACTAAAAATCCGGAAAAGATAAGGATATATTATTTTGTTTTGTGGCAACGCTATAAGTGCAATGTATTTGCTTTAATGAGCTAATTACATTTACAAAGAATAGTAACAGTTCTCTAGAAACATGATATTCTTCATAAGGCCGGACTGAATAAGATGTCAGTGGTGGTTAATAATCTTTAGGGGATAGAAAGAGTTTCCTGAGAAGTAAAAAAAAAATAAAAATACAATCTGAGCGGCCCAGTAGACGCTGTCTTTTATCAGAAACTAAGCACATGTTTATCGCCTTTTATTATCAGATGTTACTCTGCTTCCCTTTGTGAAACGCGGTCTGCGTTTACCAAAAGAAAACTTCCTGACTGTTATCTCGGTCACGCTATTTCTGTACCTTCCCCTTTCCCAAAATTTACCCCAACCCCCAGCGACACGCAGTCCACAAAAAAGTCTCCCCCGCCGCTTCCTCCCCCGGCAGCCAAAAACGCTCCGTCCTTTGGCTCGCGGAGAGAATTCCCAGGTCCGGGGACCCCTTTGCAACGTGAACGGGTTCACGTCAGGGAGGCAGAGTCCCCATCGACAGGGGTGGTGGCCCTAGGCTTGCCCGTGACCATTGTTTAACTCTGTTCCCAAAGAAAGCCATCTGGTGACAATGGCACTTGTGCCAAAGGGGGGCGGGGGGGGGGGGGGGGGATAAAAAGTGAGAGAGAACGTCCCCTCCTTTAATTAGGGTGGAGGGTGCTCAGGTTCCTCTTTGCCCTGAATTTCAGCCAGCCTGTCATTACTGACGCAACACAGGCCTGCTGAGATTTTTTTGTGTGTCTCCGTCTTGAGGTGGTTAGCTCACTGTCCCCCAGAACCGCCCCTGGATACAGAGCGGAGCGAAATTAACTCCGCGCCTAATGGTGTTTGTCGCTGTCCTTGTAAATTAGAGGGAAAGATGAAGGGGGGAAAAAAAACCCAAAAAGATTAAAGAGAACAAGCTGAAAGTACAAATGGCCCAACGGGGCTGACCTCAGTCCAGAAAACGCCTCCCTGTGCTGCCCTGCTGTCTGGGGGCCCGGAGACACAAAGGTTCTTCCGTTTTATCTTCAAATGTGGCAGAGCCAGGGGACAGGAGGTGGTGGGAATGGTCCTCCTGTAATTTTCACAGCAGCCCTGCAGATTGTGGCCACGCCCACTTCCTGAATCCCGTCTCTGAGTGGAGCCTCAGAGCCTCTGACCAGCCTCACCTCCATCACATGATCACTTTTTCTTTCCTGTTTGTTTGTGCAGTCGCTGTGGTATGTGTGTGTGTGTGTGTGTGTGTGTGTGTGTGTGT